GGGACCACAGGCGCCCGCCACAACGCCCGGCTATTTTTTGGTTGCAGCCGTCATTGTTGTTTGGCGGGTCCGGGCTGGGGATTCGAACCTGCCACCTTAAGTGTACGTGGCTGGTGCCTTAGCCGGTTGAGCTATAGGCGCCGAGCCGAGATTTTTATATTAACACAAGGATATTCTTATTTAAAAGTTGTTCAAGTGAAGGTGTATATGTGTCAGCTTCTATATTGCTTTAGTTATTTTATGTATTAACACATTTTTTCTCCTAAAATTAAGAATTAGCTTTAAAGTATTTTCATAGGGACCATGAGAAAATACCTAAATGAAAAGCACCAGTGATTAAAAAGGAGATGTCAAGACGCCCTCTTCTGGACATTCTGAATAATGGCACTGAAGAGACAAAGGTTTCTTAGACTGGTAATAATTTCAGCACCCATGGATGTAAATAAACCAAAATCCAACATGTCAGATAACATTCACTATGGACCTAGGTATGGGGATCTGTTTGCTGAAGTAGCAATAAAACCTAGTTACACAGTAGTTCCTCCAATGCAATGATAAAATCCTAAGCATACTTTTATACTTAAGTAAAATTACGTGAATAGTATTAAATATAAATACATTTTCTCTTTGCAAAATACTCACTTATAAACAGTGTTCTGTATGGACTGTGAAGCCAGAACTATTTTACGGTGATAGCCTTGACCAACAATAGACTGTACAATTCCTTTTTTGCTTGGAAGACCTTTAGTTTCTTGTTCAGATGTCTACAAAATACAAATGACGCTCAATAAATTAAAGGGAATTGTAACATATGACTGAATACCTTTCACAATTGCTCTAAACTTAAATTTCATAAGATCCATCAATGTGGATTCTTTTTTTTTTTTTGGTGATAAAGGAAACATCTGATATCGAAGGAAAAGGTACTTGAGGCTAAAAGTCTAGGGTATATGCTGTATTTTGTTTACATGTCAGTTAAGGTATTTTTTTTTTTTTTTTTTGGAGACAGAGTTTCATTTTGTCACCCCTCAGTAGAGTCCTCTGGCATCATAGCTCACAGCAACTTCAAACTCTTGGGCTTAAGCAATTCTCCTGCCTCAGCTTCCCAAGTAGCTGGGACTACAGGCATTTGCCACAGCACCTAGCTATTTTAAGAGATGAGGTCTCACACTGGCTCAGGCTGGTCTTGAACTCCTGAGCTCAAACAATCCACCCACCTCAGTCTCCCAAAGTGCTAGGATTACAGGCGTGAGTTACCACTCCTGGCCTGATAGTTAAAGTAACTCTTAGACAAAAAATCTATTTCAGTTATGACCTAATAAATTATTCAGAATGATTTAGTTAGAACATTTTACATCTTCAGTACCATGCTGTATATTATGGGAGCTTTCACGGCAGGGTAAGGAATATAAGAGAGCTAAAAATGCAATGGAGAAGAAAAGGGAAGCAACTACATTTTCTAAAACACAGGTATTTTCTTTCCTTTTATTGTCTAAGCTAGAGTGGAAGAGTGTTCTTACAGGCATGATCACAGTGCACTGCAGCCTCCAACTCCTGGCCCAGTCTACCCCCACTTTCCTCCCCACCCCAGCTTCCTGAGTGGTTTGGTCTACAGGTATGCACCACCACACCCTGCTTGATCTTGCCTTTCTTAAATCGAAGTATTAATCAAACTGTCAACGATATATCACTCTAACAAGCTCTCTATGTTAAAATTTGCATGGATACAACTCTTGCCTTCTAGGAAACTGAAATTCCCACGAAACATTAAATTGAAAATAGTAAAAGCTACATACACACACAGAATTATAGAATATTTATTTATTAAGATACATTATCTCATTATACAGTTCAATAGTACCAATTTCATTTCTCTTCCCTCTTTAAGTCTCTAATTTACCTGCAGTAAAATCCCTATTAGTCAACTTATAATGATACTCGAATTCTCATATACTGGAACAAATGAAAAGCCAATCAAAATGAAGTTACAAAACTAAACTCTGCCCTGCAAAAAGCCTTTGTTTCCATATTGTCACGTATTGCTCCTCCTTGATATAACAATATAGTTGCACTTCACTATATGACTTTGAATAAAACAAGAACTCATAGGGGTGGTGCCTGTGGCTCAAGGAGTAGGGCACCAGTCCCATTACCGAAGGAGGTGGCAGGTTCAAACCTGGCTCCAGCCAAAAATTGCAAAAAAAAAAA